TTCTGCATTCTGAAGGACAATCTAGGAGGATAAAGCAGCGGGCTGTGAACCACGCCAAGCTTCCCGCTGAAGAGGAGCGCGCTGACCCGCGATGACTTTTGTCGGCGCTTTCTGCGCTCCCGTTGAGAACCCAGCACTCTCAGCTCTGAGAGTGGTTGATGTAAGTTGGTTTATTTTTTCCTTGTGGAGTGGTGAATTCTGGGTCTTTTTTTAATAAAAGCTTTAAGTGGATGCTGACACCTGTACTCTTCTTTACCTGACTTTAGTGTGGTGTGTTGTTGCTCTTGGTAGTTTTTAACTTACACACGCTTTATTTTTTTTTCCAGACAAGCATGACTTCTGCTTTCCCCTGAGAAAGATGAAGAGTTTCTGGGGAAGTGTATCATTGAGGATCCAAAGTTTCCCCCTGTTCCTCCCACTGATGGGTTGATGAATTTTTCTTTCTTGAGGAGGGATGCAGTTAGATTATTCTGTTGCTCTTCGTCTCCTTCAGCTACCCGCTTCTCTAATTCATAGAATGGTTTGGGTTGGAAGGGACCTTAAAGATCATGCCAAGCTTCCCGCTGAAGAGGAGCGCGCTGACCCGCGATGACTTTTGTCGGCGCTTTCTGCGCTCCCGTTGAGAACCCAGCACTCTCAGCTCTGAGAGTGGTTGATGTAAGTTGGTTTATTTTTCCTTGTGGAGTGGTGAATTCTGGGTCTTTTTTTAATAAAAGCTTTAAGTGGATGCTGACACCTGTACTCTTCTTTACCTGACTCTTTAGTGGTGTGTTGTTGCTCTTTGTAGTTTTTAACTTACACACGCTTTATTTTTTTTTCCAGACAAGCATGACTTCTGCTTTCCCCTGAGAAAGATGAAGAGTTTCTGGGGAAGTGTATCATTGAGGATCCAAAGTTTCCCCCTGTTCCTCCCACTGATGGGTTGATGGATTTTTCTTTCTTGGGGAGGGATGCAGTTAGATTATTCTGTTGCTCTTCGTCTCCTTCAGCTACCCGCTTCTCTAATTCATAGAATGGTTTGGGTTGGAAGGGACCTTAAAGATCATCCAGTTCCAACCCCCCTGCCATGGGCAGGGACACCTTCCACCAGCCCAGGTTGCTCCAAGCCTCATCCAGCCTGGCCTTGGACACTCCCAGGGATGGGGCATCCACAGCTTCTCTGGGCAACCTGTCCCAGTGCCTCCCCACCCTCTCCAGGAAGGATTTCTTCCTGATATCTAATCTAAACCTCCCCACTTTCAATTTAAACCCATTACCCCTTGTCCTGTCACTACAGGCCCTTGTAAAATTCTGATGTTATGGTAGGAGATAACGATTCTGCTGTGTACCCCAGGTTGGCATTTCCCATCTGACATGACAGGCAGTGACTGAACTTAATGTCTTGTTGAACTTTATTTTCAGTTCCTAAATTGTCTGTACCCTTGGGTATGTTGCTGAAGTCCTGTGGCCGACTTTCATAAATGGAAAACTTCCACGTCAGCTCAGCTCCAAACGCCCTAGCCTGTCCTTTCTGAGGGATTTCAGCCCATTGATTCCCTTTACTTTGCTTTCTCATTTGTGGACGTGTGGCATAGGAACCGTCTGGCTTTTGTTCTCTTATCCACCAGTAAATTTCTGCTAGGACAGATCCTTCCTTAGGCTATTTCCAGCCGTTTTACTTCCAGCCCTGCGTTAGGAAGTCTCGCTGCTGTGTTTGTGCCTCAGACTTCTGGCACGTACCTCACAGGTTCAGGCTGATCATCAAGAGGAAAATGGAATTTTGAATTTTGAAATGCAGTTTCTTTTTGATAGTGAAAATCTGGTTGTGATCGTTGTGGGAGGGATATGGCCAGTGGCTAGAGCGGCGAGCAGGCTGCCTGCCTTGGCGAGGGGAAGGGCCAGCAAGAGAAGGGGTTGCTGCCATTTAGCGCAGGTGCTGATGTGATGGACCCCGCCAACGAAAGAGTGGCTGGGTGGTAATCCTCCTTGAAGTAGCTTTCTGAAATACGCTCACAGGATTTCAAAAATTCCTTACCTGCCTAATGACTGGAGACAACTGCTGGCTCTGCTCTGGTGTCTTCCTCAGTTATTCACTACCATTTCTCTTCACAGCCCACTTTACAACTAGAAAGAGTAGATGTGCCTTCTCGGAAAGCATTTCAGCTTTGGTTAGTGACAGCTGGCCCAGGAGATGGTGGCAAGTTGCCCCTCAGTCCTTCATAAAAATACTTCCTTTGTCCTTCACCCACGTCAGTTTGCCTTCGCTCTGGAGGAATTGTATTTACACCTTTTTTATTTATTATGCAGGTGAGTTTTATGTCTCTTCAAGTCTCATACCCAACAAAGGGGATCAAGTCTGCAGTGCTAGGAGAGGGATGTGCTTCCTGAGTGAGGGGCAAGTCTTGCTGGGGCCTCCATCCCCGCTGTGTTCATGGCAGGCCTGGCAAAAGGACCTGCCTTGGGCAGTCTGAGCTGTAAAGCGAGCCTGGCTCTGTTGGTTTGACCAGAAAGAAAGTAGAGGAGGGGGTTGATGCAGCTGTTGAGGCTCACCAGTGGCCTCCAGATCTTGTAAAGCAAACTCCAGCGCTGTAGGAGTTGGCAGTCAGCTGCCCGGTAGACGCGGATGAAGAGGTAAATGCTGCGGGTGATGTGAAAGGGCAATAAACAGACAGCAAAAAGCCCACAGACGAGGAGAATGGTTCGGATCGACTTGGCTCGGGCGGCACTGCCGGTGGGGTTGGTGTCTCCAGGGCGCTGGGTGAGGGTTCTGATCATCAGACAGTAGCAGACCGAGATGATGAGGAAAGGAAGGAGGAAACCCGATGCGGTTAGGGCCATGCCATAGGGGTAGTAGCTGCTGAGGTTCTCGGGGCTCGTCATGTCATAGCAGACGGTGTGGTTATTGATAACGCCAGTGCGAGCGTAGACGAAGGTGGGCAGGAGCTGGAGGAACACCAGAGCCCAGGACGTAGCTGTGCCGACGGCAGCCAGGCGCCGGGTGCGGTAGGGTAGGGAGCGGATGGGGTAGCAAACACCAAGGAAGCGATGGACGCTGATGCAAGTCAGCAGCAGGATGCTGCCGTACAGGTTGGCATAAAAGAACCACCGTACCAGTTTGCAGAGCAGCTCTCCGAAAGGCCACGTGTCCCGCAGGCTGTAGTTGATGATGAGCAAGGGCAAAGAGAAGAGGTAGAGCAGGTCCGCCAAAGCCAGGTTCACCAGGTAGACGGTGGTGCAGGTCCAGTCCCTGGCGCAGCGGCAGCTGAGCCATAGCATGGCTCCGTTGAGGAGCAGCCCCAGTATGAAGACGGAGCTGTAAGCGAGGGGCAGCAAGATGTATTTATAGCTTTCCACGAGAGGACACAGAGCCTTCCCGGAGGTGCCATTCTCTGTTTCCTTCAGCCCCTCCATTGCTGGCTGCAGCTTTAGGCGCCGTGTGCTGCTTTTCCGTTGCTTTAAAGCTCTCCCTGCCAGAAATAGAAACACGAGCACCTGACAGTCATTCGTCGCTCTTGGCCTTTGCCTCTTGCCACCTCAAAGAAATCTGTAAAATCCTAATTAAAGCACGCACAGAACTCTGAAGAGATGAAGCCGCAATGGAATTCATGCGTCACCCGTTTCCACTTGAAGGCAGCTAAAGCAGCGACGGCTGCGAGGGCTTGGTGCTGTGCCCTCGGGGACCAGCACTCTGTTGCACGGGCAGTGAAATGAAGTTTATTGCAGACGCAGGCTCTGCCATACACTGAAATTCCTCTGCGCTTCGGTTACTTGATGGGGGGCAGTTGAGGGGCAGGCTC